TAACACTGAAAAAGAAAGAAATGTGGAACTCTTTACTGTTGTGCTTGTTGTTGTTGTTATTGCAGTTGGACAAATATTTGGGTGTGCTTTAGATAATGTTGGTGGATACAATTTTCCCATATATAATGATGATGTTGTTGTTGTCATTGTATCCCCAAAAACCAATCTTAATACAAATGCAACAATAATAACAAAAACAACTATGGATTAGATTAGGTGGACAACATCTGTTGAGAGAAAAAATACCGTCTTATAACAATACCTTGCTATGAAGAGAGTGAGAGGGAGATGGAGAGAGGGTATTTTGTCTGTAATGATTTCGGCATGAACCAATTTACTATGTATGATTACCAAAATTCTGTCCATTTTTTGATCACCTCCAAAATTTTCCCACCCATTTTCTCCTCTCTATTAATTTGTTAATTAATCTCACTACAAAACTAATTGTTGAACAATTAAAATATTATCCAACTAAAGAATTATGTTATTATATTAGCATTCTACATCTAATTGGCTGACTGGCTACATGTTCATGTCTGCTTACATTTGAAACGCTTTATGGCAGCCCAAAAAAGCATGACGCTTATTTTACACCTGTCATCATCAAGTATTTACCGTGTAAATTAAACAATGTTTACATGAAGTAGAAAATAATAAAAGAACCAAAATGGTAACGATTTCAGGCATCACCGATAGAGCGTTAAAACACCGGCAACAAAAACAACAACACCAAGCATATGTGATAAACGGCCACCCACTTGGTGGGCAAACACCGCTCATCATACATTCCCCATTGGAGGTTGGAGTTACTTTTTTTGTTGTTGTTATACAAATTTGGAGCATAACACTTTTACGCTGAGTGAAGAGCATGCCTACAAATGTAGGTAGATATGTGCAGTAGTGTTATATGTATGTCAGTAAATCAGATATAATTCAACTAATTCATTATTACAATGCTGTTTACACATGTGTAAACCATTTACCAACCAACAAAAAAAAAAAAAAATCGGCTACCAACTTCATTTCCATTGAGCGTAACCATTTTGTACCTGATAGCATATAACGTCCAACAAATTTTTTCAATTATATTGAAATATTTAAAAAATGTTGTTGTTATTTTTAAAATGTTTTCATGGTTTGTGAGCAAATGAATTAATTAAAAATTGAAGAAAAAAGGTAGAACAATTTTAGGCGCAATTAAAAATAAGAATTTGTGAGTCATACGAATATAAATAGGGTACTCCGGTTTTTGTGATATTTATTTTGCATACAGATTTGTTTTGTTTGGAGTCTAATAGTAAAATTTTTTGAAGAATATTTTCTCAATTGGCATCAAGACGCTACAACAAAATCTTCGAGGTCAAAAATTCAAACATTTTTTGTTAAAGAAATTATGTTCCTTTTTTTTATAACCTCAAACTTTGTGTATGTATTTCTTTTTTAGTTATAATAGTTACAGATTTCTCATGGTTGGCGACCTTTAACCAAATTTAATGGGGAATATTTTTTCCATTTTCCTCTACAACAGAATCTTCGGGGTCAAAAATTCAAAATTTTTCGATTAAAGAAATTTTCATCTCTTTTATGATAACCTCAAACTTTGTGTATGTTTTTCATGGTAATTTTTAATAGTCACAGTTTTCTCTTGTTTGGCGACTTATAGCCAAATTTAATGAGGAATATTTTTTCCATTAGTACCACTTTTCTAAAATGTGTTCCTTACGGACATTTTGGGACTAAATCGAAATAACTTTGAAATTCTCTACAAACAATTAATTTTAGGTGTCCAATTTTGGAAGCGATATTTCAGTGTTATTTATTAGAACTAGAATTGTCCGTTGGTCGATGACTTATAGTGGAAGCTAGTGGAGAAAATGTTTTTCATTGGCACCAAGACTCTACCACAAAATCTTAGGGGCCAAAAATTTGTCATTAAGGAAATTTGCTCATTTTCATTATAACCTCAAACTTAGTGTATGTATTTCATATTTAGTTATAATAGTTAGAGTTTTCTTTTGGTTGGCGACTTATAGTCAAATTTAATGAGGAATATTTTTTCTCTTAACACCACTTGCCAGAAATCTTTTTTGAGGGACATTTTGAGATCAAATTCCGACCAATTTTTAAATTAACCAGAAAAAAAATATTCCTTTGATTTTCCTATTTTCGAAGTGACATTTTATTGATATTCAGTTCAGATACCGCTTTCTCTCGGTTGGTGACTTATAGTGAAATGTGACGAATAATATTTTTCTCCTTGGCACCACTTCCCAGAAATCATTGCCTAAAAGACATTTTGGGACTGAATCGAAGCATCGCAAGTATTCACTAGAAAAACACATTTCTTTAGCAGTCATATTTCGAAATGATATTTTATCGTTATATAGTTGAGATACAGTTTTCTCTTCTTGACACCACTTGCCAGAAATCATTTCTTGAGCGATATTTTGAGACAAAATGTAAATATCCTTGAAATTCACAAAAAATAAAAAAATATTTCTTTCCTTGTCCTATTTTCGAAGTGATATTTTAGTGTTATATAATTGAGATACAGTTTTCTCTTGGTCGGTGGCTTATAGTGAAATTTAATGAAGAACATATTTTTCATTGACACCATTTCCCAGAAATGATTTCTTGAGCGATCTTTTGAGACAAAATCGAAATATCCTTGAAATTCACTAGAAAAAAATATTTCTTTACTTATCCTGTTTTCGAAGTGATATTTTATTGATTATTAGATGAGATACCGCTTTCTCTTGGTTGGTGCCGCCTTATAGTGGAATCTAATGGAGAATATTTTTCCCTTTTGCACCACTTCCCAGAAATGATTTCTTAAGGGGCATTTTGAGACTAAATCGAAAAAGTCTCTGAAATTCACCAGAAAAAAATATTTCGTTAGTTGTCCTTTTTTCGAAGTGATATTTTATTGTTATATAATTGGGATACAGTTTTCTCTTGGTCGGTGACTTGTGGTGAAATTTGATAAAGAATATTATTCTCCTTGACACCACTCCCCAGAAACCATTGCTTAATGGACATTTTGAGACTAAATACGAAACTTAGCTGAAATTCACTAGAAACAAAAATTTCTTTAGTTTACCTACTTTCGAAGTGTGATTTTATTGAGATTTAGTTGAGATATCGCTTGCTCTTGGTCGGTGACTTATAGCGAAATTTGATGAAGAATATTTTTTCCATAGATATCACTCCCCAAAAAATACATCTTGCTGGACCAAATCGATAAAAACGGAAATTATCGAGAAAAACACATTTTTTATGTAGCCCTATTTTGGAGAGAAATATAACGGAAATTATCGAGAAAAACACATTTTTATTTTTTTTGGAGAGAAATTTTATTGTTATTTAGTTGAGATACCGTTTTCTCTTTGGTAGTGACTTAAAGTGAAATGCCAAAAAAATTCTGATTAATATCAATCTCCAAAAAACTCAATTTGTTGGGCAGAATCGATAAAATCTGAAATTACCCGAATCAAAATTTGACGGTAGTCTATGGGACCGGTGATCACACCATTGTTCCATATCCTATTTTTTATTATGTATTTTAATATACCAAAAAATTGCGGAATTATTAAATTACCTTCGATCTAATTTCTTTATAATAAATCAGGAAATTTGTTACCTATCACAGCTTTATTGATGTTGTTGTTGTCTTTTGTCTGGAAATGATTCATGACATTTAAATTTAAAAAAAAAACACAACAATTGAATTTGTCCCACGCTTTGAGAGAAAAAAGTTACTTTTACTTTAATAATAAAAAACAAAATCTAATAGATTAGCACATTCTGGTTGTTGTTGACACCCCAGACAACAACAAAAACAGCACCAACAATTAAAACAATGCAACAAATCTTATTCAATTTTTGTTATTTAGAAACAAATGCTAATAAATATTTATAAACTTGTGAATAAAAATTAAGAAAAAAATTATGGGCGACCAAGTTAACATCGTAACTTAGTAAGTAATACAACAACAGCAACAACAACAAAAATATGAGGCAACAAAAAAATATATATCAGCATATAGCGTGAGTAACTTTACTTAACAAAATCCTAAGCTATTCCAAGTGAGATGAGGTGAGCGGAGGAGAGAGGGGGTGGATGAAGGTGTATTGAGATATTGCACCAGTTTTTGTTGTTGTATTTTTTTTTTCAAAATCTTGAATGTAATAATGCTTGCTGCAATATTTAATTGTGATTTTATTGCATTGCTGCTGCTCTACATACATGCACACGAATCATAGTTTTTTGGTTTTTCTTTTTTTTTTCTTTTTCAAAAACTATGTCAGTTACAAGACTATAGTCAGTCAGTGAATGCGTGACGGACCTGACTGCCTGCCTGACGGAGTGAGATCTCTTATTACAGGTTTTGACATTTTGTTGACGTTGTCGTTTGTCAGGCATTGTTGTTGTAGTTGTTGTCCAATTCATTAAAAGATAGATTATCATTTGAATTGAATGTTGTTCGTCGTTCCACATACTTACATACGTATTTGGATCAAAGAGACAAAACAAAATGGTTGTGGAAAGATCTATGGGACATTTTGTTGTTGCACTTGTTGTTGTTATTATTTTCCGTTTGACAAAATATTCAAAGAAAGTGTGTCATTTTATTCAATTCATTATTGGACAAATTCAAACAATTTGTTGTATTTATTTGGTTTTATTTTTCTCATGGTAATAACTTTACAAAACCCCGGACTCTTTCGAATTTGATACGAATTTATTTGAAATACAATTTCAATTCAATATTTTACAATTTTTCCTGGAACAAAATACAATACACTAACAACGGGTCTTGCATCAAATAAATCTACCGCTGCTGTGGCATTGCTGCATGTTTCCTTTGAACTTCAAACAAGTTTGATGTTTTCTTTTCCCCATATTTCCCATATTCTTATTTTTTTTTAACAAAACGTTTTTGTTGTTGTTGTTTGTTTATTAATTATATCATTTTCTTGTTTTTTATTTATTCTTCCAGGTTCATCATGCCTTACGGAGGGCTGCAGAAATGGCGGGACATGTATAACGCATACAAATGGTGTTTCCACTTGCAAGTAAGTAAACCAACCAAAAATATACAATAAACAACAAAAACTATGTACAACAAACATGATTCTCTTTTGTTGTTGTTTTGTTATTTAAGTGTTATTTTTGTTACGTGTGGCATATTTTTTAATGTTCTCTACATTTAAATGAGGTTTCGCCCTAAAACCATTTTTTTTGTGCGGCATATAATTTTTTTGGGTAAAGCCAGGTATTTTTTTAATTTCATTTGGGTGATAAGAAGACACAATGAAAAAAATAAGAAAAAAATTAACAACAACAACTTAGTTTTAATAAGAAACATAAAGCTCAGTTTATTTTTTTATTTTCTGTAAATTATGACAATTGTATTTTTTGACATCTTCTCTTTTATTTTCTGGTGTATGGGTCTCCAGATATTTTTTTATTTTTATTTTCATACCTTCTTTCATTTTGGTTAATGACAAATACGTGAATTGAATTTTTTGTTTTAAATCACAAAAATAATATTTAAATTTTCATATTTTTTATCGCAGACAAATCAAGTGACTCAGTATTAAGACCCGAAAAATATATACGCCTTGAATATTTTTTGTATTTTTTTTTTATAAATTTCTTTTGAAGTGTTAAGGATGTATATGAGACGAATTTTGTATAATTTTTTTTCAAATCAATAATTTGATTTATAATTCACTTTTATATTGACATTTTGATTTTAGATAAACTTTAGATTTTGACAAGCGGAATGTGTTCGGTTGAGCGACAAGAATTTCTTTGTTTTTTTTTTTTTTGCATAAAATGCAAATGGTACCAGAAAAAAAATAAAAAATTTGGTTGCCACAATTTGGAATCAAAATTTTTTAAATTATTTTTTTCAAAAGAGTAGATTTTTTAAAATTAGTTTTTGAAAGGTGTAGACTTTTTAAAATCATTTTTTTAAAGGTTTTTATTTTTTTATTTTTATTTTTTTGAAAGATGTCGACTTTTTAAAATTATTTTTTTTAAATATTATTTCAAATTTGTTTTCAAAGACCCACACAAGGTGTTGACTTTTTAAAATTATTTTTTTCAAAGGTGTAGACTTTTTAAAATTATTTTTTTCAAAGGTATAGACTTTTTAAAATATTTTTTTCAAAAGAGTAGACTTTTTGAAATTATTTTTTAAACGAGTAGACCTTTTATAATTATTTTTTCAAAGATGTAGTCTTTTTAAAATATTTTTTTTTAAATTTTTTAAAATTATTTTTTTTAAAGTTGTAGACTTTTTAATATTATTTTTTTCAAAGGTGTAGACCTTTTTAATTTTTTTTTCAAAGGTGTAGACTTTTTAAAATTATTTTTTCAAAGGTGTAGACTTTTTAAAATTATTTTTTTTCAAAGGTGTAGACTTTTTAAAATTATATTTTTCAAAGGTGTAGACTTTTTAAAATTATTTTTTTGAAAGGTGTAGACTTTTTACAATTATTTTTTTTCAAAGGTGAAAACTTTTTAAAATTATTTTTTTTCAAATGTGTAGACTTTTTAATATTATATTTTTCAAGGGTGTAGACTTTTTTAAATTATTTTTTTTTCAAATGTGTTGACTTTTTAAATTTGTTTTTTTTTTTCAAAGTCTACAGAAGCTATAGACTTTTTATAAATATTTTTTTAAAGTCTACATAAGTTGTAGACTTTTTAAATATATTTGTTCAAAGTATACACAAGGTGTAGTATATTTAATCAAAGAACTATTTTTAAAGATATTTTTTTCATTTGTATTTTTATACCTTACACAACTAAGTTGTCAGGGTATTATAGCTTTGTACAGCCCCAAAAGTTTGTAACGCCACGAAATATTGGTCCTAGACCCACCTTTAAGTATACCGATCTTCATATCTTGACTAGCTGAGTCGATCTAGACATGTAAACACGATACAGGCCACAGTTATTGGCCAATCTTCACGACATTTTTCATGTATGATGGGTTCTGGCCAATGAAGACCCCTATTGTTTTTGGTAAAGATCGGTTAATATTTAGGGGATGATATGGATCAAATACTTAATTTTTGTTGGTCGCTCTAGAGGCCGCAATTATGGCCCGAACATCGAAATTTTACATGGAGAACGGGATCGGGCTAACGAATAAGCATGCCTGTTTTGATAAAGATATTTAGCGGGTCAAATGGACCCTGGCTTTTGTGTGAAAAATTACAAAATTTGTATTCTATGGCGTATATATTTGCCCCTGAAAAGGAGGACCCGAGAAGTTAATAGTATATCCAAGAGGAGTGGTTGACCTTTAAATTGATACCAATTATAGATGTGGGAGTTACACTTAAATATTTACAGGTGCTCACGTACTGAGATATTATTTAGTAACCCATTACCACACTAGAGGGCGGAAATACATTTTGAAATTTTCCATGAGGTCCAGGTATGGTCAAGGACAGCGCTTATAATTTTCGGTGATGACCGAAAACTTAATTTTTTGTGTTTTTTTTTCGAGTCGATCTGTAGGCCATAATTATAAGCCCAACATCACAACACAACCCACCGGGAAGGGAATCTGGCCAAGTAATTAGAAGGGATGTGCTGAATATTAGTAATATTTGTTTACCTCAAGTCGGTCAAGAGGGTTTAAATATCGCCAAATTTTGCCCAATCTCAGAATATAGAACAACAGAAAGTTTGATTTTCGTGGAAGTTGTGTAAGGTATCATATGGTCGGCCCCGTCCGACTATACTGCTCCGCTTACTGGTTTGAAAATATTAATTCATAGGTCTACACAGATGTGTGTTTTTTTTAAAGCATTTATTCAAGGACATACACGCCTTGTGTATTTTTTAAAATTATTTGTTAGTGAACTATCAAGGGCGTAGATTTTTTCAACGGCATATAAATGGCGTGTTTTTTAATTATTTTCTCAAAAACATTCAAGTAGTGAATTAAAAAAATGTTTTTTCATAAAACTATCAAAGTCGTAGTTTTCAAGGCATATCAAAGGATTGGGTATAAAAAATCAGAGCCTTACATTATATATTTTTTTTAAAGACCTCTATTTTTATCAAAGAACTTAAAAAAATTTATTTGTTGTTTTTTTTTTTAAATTATTCTTAGCTTTATCCTTAAGCTTTGAAACGTTTAAAAAATTAGATTAGCTCTAGTGGTCAATTTCGAAATTGTTCATTTTTTTTTTTTGAAATAATATGTTTCTCAATATACGCAGACACTTGTGTTCGTGTGTGAGAGTCTGACATATTATTAAGCCATCAATCATGTTTGGTCTGTATATTTTTGGTAGCAAAAATCTCAATTTGGCTTATACTCGTCTTCAAGTAATTACTGTCATATTTTTCTTCTTCTTTATCTTTTTTGAAGACATCGTTTCTTTGATGTCAAATTGAAAAAAGCAAAAAATAAGTTAGCGACTTCTATGAGTATTTAATTGCAGCAAACAAAAACGCCATTTAAAGAAGCAATGGCGGCATTTTAACCACATTTTATTGTTTTATCACAGAAGTTAACATCACACACGAACACACACACACATTCTGATATTCACACAAGAAATTGCCAAATTTTTATTTGACTACTTTCCGCCAAAGAAGACGTAATAAAAAACAACTGCCGAAATTAATGAAGCACTTAACCAAAGCGTGTTAAGTGCGGCTTTTGCTTTTGTGAATGAATGAAGTCGTCGAAATAAAAGTCCATTTATGCCACTATAATTTAATTTACACTATAATTTAAAAATTAGTAAGCTTTTGTTGTCAACATGAAGTAGATATTTCAATCAATTGGTAAAGATGGTTGATATTTAAAAAAAATACGCATACATATGTAAATTGAAACAGGTGTAAAAAATTTGAAGAGATTTTATTACAAAATCCCCCTAACCCATGTTGAGTTAGGAGAAAAAACGTGTAGGTGTTAGGAGAAAATTAAAAATTTTTTAAAACCAAAATTTATGGATATTAAAGTATCACAATTTATTACCGAACAGGTATTAATAATTTTCATTATTGATGAACTTGCTGGGTGGGTCTATAGTAGGGGTGTTCGGCGAGTAAATGAGAAACCGCCATATGAATTGGTTTCAAAAAAGAGAAAGAGAGAGAACTATAAACAAGGGCGCCAGTTCTCATGCATGAGCAGCATTAGTCTTCAATGTAGACTCTACGTTGAAGCCTATGTGAAATAATATGACATTGACCCCTTCGAAAAAAGTCTTCACTCTACTTTAATGACATTTTGATTTGTTTTCTTCTCTGTATCAATTTTGATAATCTGGTTTTCATCTCTTCCTCCTCCTCCTCCTCGTTTATTACCTCAGAATGTTTTAAAATAATCACACGATCGAACAGATAGACATCTCGTACGTAGAGAAATAGCATTACCGGTTAATGATAAAAAGCGGAAATGCTTATGGCATTACCTGGACGGCCAATAGGCAAGTCAGACTATAAGGTGTTACCATATCACATACATACATCAATACACTTGTACGTATGTATGTGTATATGTGTCATTAATATTACGTTACACTGTCCATCTTAACCCCTCTCTCTCTTCCCGGCTAGATATCTTCGCATATTGTATTTCCAGTTAAGCCATCAATTAGTGTTAAATAAGTTGTTGTTGTTTCAAATTCTTTCACAGAGAGCAGTGTATAATGACACAGAAAACCCAAGAACAACAATACCAACAACAAGATGAATGACACTAATGTTGTTTTTCTATTTTCTTGTTGATGATGCTGCACCTTTTTTACCCATTATTTGTTCTTCTCAATGTGTTGTTGTTGCATTTTTCTTCATGTGAAATATGAGTATGACGACCATATATTCTTCTTCTTCTACGGGGATACATAACTAATCCTAAATTATAAACTATTTAATCGTAGTGTAGACTAGCCTGCCTGTTTCTTCCTCCTCGCCCATTAGGCCTAGACATAGAAGAAAAACACCTTTAATTCCATGTTTCCTACCTGTTCTTGCCTAAATAGAGAATTCATTGTTGTTGATTTTTTTCATATGTGAGTGTGTGTGTGTG